TCTCTCTCTCTCTCTCTCTCCATCTCTCTCTCTTCCTCCCACTCCATTTAATTCTAAACCCATCAGGACTCAACTCCATGACCCCCTCTCTCTTCCTTTTAAGCGCGCGCTCAAGTTTGGTCCCCAACTTGTGCGCTGCCCCGCATCCGCTGCCGCGCGGAACAAAGCATGATCCGGGCAGCCCGCAGGGAGCACCCTCCCCACACCTCCCTGCTCGAGTGCTCACCCACCTCAACTGGGGCTCCGGAGCGCGCCGGCTCTCCGCGGTCCCCCAAGGCCAAGTCCGAGTGCTGCCCGCAGCCGCCAGCAGCGGGGCATGCCGGGAGCGCGGGCGGGCCGACGACCCAGATCCACCCCCGGCGGGGCGGCCCAGCCAGCGCACCCAAATCCCCCGCTGCCAGGCGCCGCCGTCCCCGCCAGGCCCCTGGCCGCCCGGGGATTGGTGTCCGGGAGCCCGGGGCAGCTGGGAGACAGTCACTGGCGACCTAAGAACCCCTCCACGTGCACCCACGGAGACCAGGGCGGGAGGGTAGCGCGAGGGCCATGCGCCCACACCCACTGTGCTCCAGCTGGCCATCCAGGGATGGGGGTAGGAGTTCCCATAGTTCGTACAGTGCAGGGTCGCTGCCCCAGCCTGCTGTCTGCAGATTGATTGTAGCGCCTCACTAGCCGTGGGCAATTCGTCCTCCCTTCTCTGTGCCTCGGTGGCCTCCTCTGTAAAGATCCTGGGAATTGGTGTCAGGGTCAATGACACACAGCATGCATTTTCTAGGGGAGAATCTGGTCCAGGGCTAACAGTGAATCAGCAGCCTGACATAAGACTCTTGCTAATCGCTGTCTAGCCAGGATACTGGCAGACAGTCGTGCCCATGATCCCATCCTACATATCCCACTGCAAAGAGGCCACACCTCATCAGTCAGGACACAGTCCAGGCCACTAACAGTCACCAGTAGGCTGCCCTTCAGGCCTAAGGATGACAGCTGATGGCAGCAATTTAGGATCTCAGAGGTCCCCACAGGCCTAGGAAGCAGACTGAGGGCTATTTGGGTAGGAATCCCAAAGTCTAAAGCAGCATTCCTCAATCTATGGATAGCAACCCCTTTAGGGTAGACTTTTCACAGAGGTTGGAAAACACAAATATTTACATTACGATTCATGACAGTAGCAAAATTACAGTTATGAGGTAGCTATGAAAATAATTTTATGTTGGGCGTCACCACAACATGAGGAACTGTTTTAAGGGTTGCATCCTCAGGAAGGTCGAGAATCACTGCTCTAGAGTATCAAGACCATGTTTTACAAGGGGAAATGAATGGGCTCCAGATGGTCACATTCCTGGTCTGTCCCGTGGAAAAGGCAGAGCCTGAGTGGGCCAAGTGAAGCATGGGTGGAGTGTCCAGGTCTAAAATAAGCCCACTTACAAGGACCTACGATAACAAGGAACAAGGATACAGATTAGGTCTCCAACGATAGGATGCAGTGTCTGCAAACCAGAGCTCATCAAGATCCCGGTGTGGTTGCTTATTTTGGTTTGCTTGGTGTTTTTGTTTATTTTGGTGTGCTTGTGCTCCTGTTTTGCTTTGTTTTGCCCTGCTAGCGATTGGATAAGAATAGGACTTCTTACATGGGATAAGAGGGTTCCATCCACTGGAAGGGGTGCCACTGGTCCTGAGTTGTATGAGAAAGCAGACTGAGCAATCCATGAAGAGCCAGCCAGTAAGCAACACTCCTCTGAGGTCTCTGCTTCAGTTCCTGCCACCAGGTGGGTTCCTGCTCTGAGTCCCTTCCCTGACTTCCTTTCAGGAAGGACTGCAGCCTGTAAGGTGAACTTTGTTTCTCAAGTGGCTTTTGGCCATGGCATTCACAGCAATAGAAACCTAACTAGTACAAGAAGACACTCCATGTCAACACCCCCAGCTTTCACAGGCACAGCCTAATGGTAGAGTGAGCCCGATGTGCACAAGGCCCTGAGTTTGATCCGTAACACTGGGAAGAGGAGGGGCAAGAGCTTTGCTTCCAATTCTAGGCGTCTTCTCTGGAAGAGAAGGCTGGGGAGTGGTTTTAGCACCCTCTGAAGTGCTTTCATAAAGACCTTTGGAGCACTGACTGTGTGGGGAAAGTTCACGGCAGAGCCGCAAGTATCCGAAGGGAACACTGGGCCAGCGTCTTCATTTCCTAGAGATTCTCCAAGAGGAACTGTTTCTGTTTGTCTTGGTTGGATGATGCAGTTAAACTATATGACCCTTGTGGCCAGCTCTGAAATCTTATGGCGACACAAGAGATGTAGTAGCCTTGAAGCATTTATTAAACAGATGAACATTTTCCAAAAAAGAATGCAAACATATAAGCGGCCGCCCAGAGCTGATGATATGAACCCACTCCAACAAACCACATGCTACCCATCCATCAGGCAGACAAGGGGGTTCTAGACAGTACTTACCTTTCCCAGCCCACTGTCTCCCACTGTTCGAGAACTTGTGCCATTCCAACACCCCTGAAGTGTCTCTAGACCCATCAAAGAAGACTGTGTCTGACATTCAGGATCCTCCCTTGCAAGTAACAGAATCTAGTACAGTGTCCCACATGGAAATGGGACCTATGGTAAGGACATCAGTGCCCATAGAATCATCAGGAAAGTATAAAGATTCACATTAGGAAGTGGGCAGGTTCCAGGGACTGTACACCATAGACCTGCAAGGATTCTGACCATCCCCTCCAACTTTGTCCCTTGACCTCAAGTACTGGGTAGGACCTAAGAAGCAGAAAGAGAAGGAATAAGGCAGGAAGGGACAGAGAAGAAAGAACAAGGAACACAATACTCCTCACGGACATGCCCCCAGTGACCTACTTCTTTAACTAGGCTCCACATTCTAAAGCTTTCATAACCTCATGATCCAATACACTCCCAAAAGCCTCACCTCTGAACACTGCTATACTGGGGATCCACCCTGAGCTTTGGAGGAACATTTCTTATCTATCATGGTTGGTTTTAATGTCAACTTGCCACAAATTAGAATCATCTGAGTAGGGAGATAGCCCCAACTGAAGAATCATCCTGATTGCTTTGACTGATATGGGAAGACTCATCCTGACTGTGGGTGGCACCTTCTGGTAGCAGCCTAGATTTAAAAAAGCCGGGGAGCATACATCGGGGAGCTGGAGATACGCTAAGCAGTGAAAAACATTGGCTGCTCTTCCAGAGGACCTGGGTTCAATTCCCACCAACCACATGGTGGCTCACAGACATCCACAACTCCAGTTACAGGGGATCTGATGCTGACTTCTGACCCCTTCTAGTACTAGGCTTGCATATGGTACACATATATATGTGCAGGCAAAGACAGGTGTATGTATAAAATGAAATAAATCTAAACAAATATGTTTTTTAACTTTTAAAAAAGGTATGTTAGAAGGAAGATCATCTTTCACTTGGCCTTCCCTCTTGCCTCAGAGTTCGTTTGTACTCTTCCTCCACCTCCTCCTGCTGCTGCTGGTGATGATGATGATGGTGATGATGGTGGTGGTGGTGGTGGTGATGATGATGATATTGCTGGTGATGATGATGATGATGATTCCTTCACTAATAGCAGAACTGTTTCCAAACTTTCCTCATGGACAAGGAATCAGCAGCTCTCAGCTCCCCAGGAAACTTCTGGACTTCCAGTGCCAGACTGGAACTACTGAGGCACCCCACCTTGTGGACTGAATAATTGCCAGTTGTCAAAGCCAATGAGAGACAGCTATTTGGGGACCACTCTGACTGTTGAGGCATTTAGCCTCAAGGACCATGTAACTACAGGGTTCTCAGCTTCTCAGGTATGATTTGGCTCCCGTTACTATTTAAAGCTGACTTAATAAACTCTGATATATATGTGCATATATGTATTTTTTCATCTCCTTGGTTCTGTCCCTCTAGAGAACTCTCATTAAAACAACATCCAAAGCATAACAGCGTTAATCACATAAAAAGTAAAATAATGCTAGTCTTTGGGGTAAGGGAAGGGATACCAGTGGTGTCGGGGACAGAGACACAACTCCACACTGCAGCCCTCACAATGTGAGGAGGAGCCTTAATCTTCTAGGAACCTCAATTCAAGTCAATGCGTGCGTGAGTGCGTGCGTGCATGAGTGCTCACATGAGTGTGTTGGCTGTTGGCACACATGTGCCATGGCATCTAGGTGGTGGCAAGGGAACAACTTGCCCTCTCTTCTAGGCATCAAACTCAGGTCATCAGGAATGGCGGCAAGTATCCTTACCCCTCAGACACCTCACTACTCCAGCAATTTTTTTCTATCCTCTTTGATAAATGTGATTATAAGATGGTTCCAGAGGTACCCTGGGCAGAATTACAATGTGATAAGATAAAATCAGGAGCCACTGGGGTTGCACAGGGGTTTAGGATATGTCCTTTCACTGTTAAAGGTATTTCTAAAAAATTGCAGTTTTTCAGTTAAGAAAAGAGAAAGATCTTAAGCAAATGCTAATTATGTTGGAATTCTTGATTTTCAGCTAGCTAGAGGCTTCAGCCAGACTCTGGAGGGATGCCTTTCCCTGCCATGCCTCATAATTTTCTGTCTTTCTATCTTGCCTTAGGAAGACTTATTGTGGAATGGGTCCAGGGGTTTGGTTTAAGAAAATGAAAAAGAAAAAAAAAGTGCTGGGGATAGATTGTGGTGGTGTTTATACAAAATGCAAATGCCCAGAGAAACCCTGTCTCAAAAACAAACAAAAAAACCAAAAAACCCAAAACCAACAAACAAAAGACAAAATGCAAATGCCTTAAGGGTAGTGAGCTGTACATTTAAAAGCGTTTTAGATGGCAGACTTTTGTATATTTTTTTCAAAATGAAATAAGTGCTCATCATAGGATAGCATAGAAAAATGGGTTATGTTTACCCAATGTCAGGCCTTGGTATTCCCTTTGTCTGGAACACTCACTCCATTATCCCAATGCCTTCCTCCCTCTCTCTGCTGAGGTGTCTGCTCAGGCCTCCACTGAGAAGTCCACCTGGGGCACCTCCTATCATGCCTGTTTCCAGGCCTGGACATGTGTTTTTAATGGAGCAAATCACTACTGATGTTACTGTTCACAATCTCTCCCTTTTGGGGGTCTAATGTCTGCAAGGGCTGGGACTTTCTGGTTCCCTGCTGACCCCTGGTATCTAGAGTACTGCCTGACACTGAGTTGGTGCCTAAATAAGAACCTGTGCAAAGAATGAATGGAAAGCTGAGCCACTGCCACGGTCAGAGTCCAGTGGGAAAAGGAACTTAAGACCCGCACTCAGTCTGGAAGGCCTGCTGGACTATGTGGCAGCCCCTGGAGGTGGTGGGGTAGGGGGCAGGAAGGATAAGTACCCAGGAAACTCT